TGGAACTTCAGTATAATTGGCCAATTAAGGAAGGTGGTGCTATTTAACATCGCCCTCTGTGTGTGCTGAAAGGAAGAAGAGGTGGGTTACCAACACCTGCGGTCCTTTCTCTGTACTCCTTGTAAGGTTTCATCTTACAAGTGGTTATTACCATGAGTAGACCTTCTGACTTAAGCATAAGTATTGCCAGCAAGAGGTGTTACAGTTAGTATTATTTGCACAGTTGGGACCGTAAGACAGTGGAGCATCAAAAGTATTCTGCTCATTTTCCCTAGATGAGGGAGCAAGGAAGCACACTTTGTATGTTTTGGACACTCAAGAGTAATAGTGATGAAATGTTGTAACACACAAAGCCTGGCTGCTCACCTATTGCATATTAACTGAGGTCATTCTCAGGGGTCTCATACCTTGAAATCCAGTTTAGAATTTTTTGGTTTTATTTGCATGAGCAAGCAAAGAGGAGTATCAAATTCCACCCAATTTATGACTGAAGCAAATAAGAGGTTGGCTGGATATTTGGGGAATGACTTTCAAAACAACATGTAGAATCAAACCGATTCAAAATTTCTAAGCCATTTTGCCCACGGACACAAGTCTGATGCATTACTGCACGCTGCATGCATGCTGCAGGCTCCCCTTCTTGGAAGCATGGCTCCAGCTTGACCAGCTAAGAGGCTATATTCAGCATCCTGGTAAAACTGTGCTATGAAAGCAAGTTCTGCTGGGACTGCAACAAGGTACCAAACTCCCGTTTGATTGTAAGAAAAATTTCCATGAGATGGTTATTCAAAGAAAAAACAAATGCCAAATCTGATCCAAATATTTAATGCTGGCTGTGAAGCCTTTGCACTCTACTGGTGTGTACTAGCAGATGCACTGTTTAAAGCACTTGAAAATTAATCTGAGTGAAGGGCTATATAGAGGTGCTCTGTACATGTGCTATATGTGTAGTATGGTTACCAGGTCAGCTGTGCTTTTCGTTCTTGTATTTCTCTCTGCCTACACCTCAGCAGTGTGAGGTTTTGGCCCTTTACCTCTTAGTTCTTGAGAAATTCTGCAGTCCTCTGAAACCAGCTGGAAACTGGATTCCAGCTCCTCAGTTTCACCAGTAAAAGACCACTATTCTAACCTGAATTGGGCCTTGCGTGGCTTCCCCTTTGACAGCAGCTGGTTAAAATGAGTAAAAAATTTCCTTAAAACAAGGACCTTTTAACTTTGATACTTTGAAGTATCAAATAGATTGAATAAGGTGTAAATTCATCACATCTACAAATTACAGCCTAAACATGCACATTTCGTTTCAGTCCTTGGCCTCTCTCTTTCATAGCTCAGATGTCTCCAGATTATTGTCATTCTATGAGATGAGAGGAATTGCCTGCAGTGGTCTCAGTGCACATCTGTTTACAGTGCCCTCTACATCTTCCCCCTCCTAAACCTTCGGTCTAGTTCCCGTATGTTTTTTTTTTAATTCCTTCCTCCAGGCTTTGCAAAACAACTATGTCACTTTGGAATGGACAAAAGAATCTCTTCCTGTGTCTCTAAATCTGGCAATTGTGTTTGAGGGAGTGCTCTTTATCTGAGCAACTGCATTAACTTTTCTGCTTGTACTTTTAACAACTTTTTGAGGGCTTCCATTGAGTTAGTGCCCAAGCATACAGCAATGCAAAGCACAGAGCAAAATGAGTCACACGCAATGTTCATAGTTTCCTAGATTGTTGCGTTTAGGATTAAGTTATTGGAATAATTATAGATTTAATACTTCCAATGACATTTAATGCCTGTAGAGACTCTTAGGAGGTTACTCACTAACAGATATTTCCCACTAAATAAACTTAGTTCATAGCCATAGAGATTAAGATGATGTCACATTTTTCTCCTCTTCCCACACATAAGATCATCCAGGGTCTGCCATACTAATGTGCTGCCTGTAGGGCCTCATGCTTTCATTTTCTGGTGAGAGGGGTGAAAATTTAAATTCTCTCTGTTCTTTCATTACAGCATTTCAGCATAATGCAATGTTTTCATTACTTTCTTTTGGCTCTGTCCCAGTTCTGTCCACCTGACTCTGAGATACAGGAGCAGTGCATGTGTTGGTTCTTTTTTAAAAACTGAATTCTAGCATTTCCCAGCTAAGGTGATCTTGATGGGAGGGACAAATCTGTCATTTTTGCTTGTTAGCATTTTTGTACTGGAGTATAGAGCCTGCCGCTGTACTGAGTTTTTATAGCCAGCTTGGGAACTATGTCCCATTTGTAAAGGTAAATTATGGGAGATTTATGAAATTGAAGAAGATGCAAGGAAGATCTCCTCAGTCTGGGTGTCATACGCCATACCAGCACTCTCTTGTAAAGGGGAAAAGCTTTGAAAATGTACAGCTCTCTTTTCACCCCAACACTTAAAGTTAACGCAGGATTCTTTAAACTCTTTCTACTGCTCCTCTATACAATGTCCAGTGTGGACAAACTAAAACTTGCTATAGGGCCTACTTTACTTCTTACGTATTTTGCATGTAAATCAGCAGCAGAAATGAAGCTTGTTCAATAACAGTCATGTGGATACTGAATGCATTTCCAGGAGGATTTCACACTAACTCTCTCTTCTGTCCCCTACCTCAGGCTCCTAGGCTGGATGAAAACACAGTACACAACAAGTCTTTTTCAAATATTGCTTCCAATAAGGAACTGGGAGTTGGGTGGTGGGGCCTGCCATGTTTTGCCCTCCGTGCGTCTGATCATTTTTGTAAAAAAATAGGAGGCAATGGGGTTGGGAGGGGAGAATTCAGGAGTGGTGGAAACACCTGATTTCAAAGAGGAAATAGCAGATGGGAACTTTTAATCAAGTATCCTGGAATTCAGGTGAGTGTCAGAGAGGATTTTCCCACCACAATTAAGAGTTGGTGGGAACAGCTCCTAGTGGGAGTTTAGCTCCTAAGTAGGTGTTTAACTGCATCTCTGGGCACCTAAATGCCTTCCACATTTGTCTAAGATAATCTGTAGGCTCCTCTTGTAATTTATGGTTTGGAAGAAGCTTTTCCTGATGACTCATACCAGGAAGATTTTAGCTAAATGGACTTCCCATATGCATGACATCTGTGTTGCACTCAGCTACTTCAGTTATCATAGAGGCACATAAAATAGCCTTTCAAAAGCAGAGCAGACGGTTGTCTCTGAAAATTACTTTGCAAAAACTTTTATGAGTGCCCCAGATCTTGATGGTACAAATTTAGGTTTAATCTAGTGCAAAAGAATGCCAAGACTGAGCTTCTAGTTTTTGACTGCTGTACTGTGATGGGCAGACCGCAGCAGGGTACAAGGAAAAACATAAGTAGGGAGTTTCTGCATAGAATGAGTGCCCCAGATTTTCATGGTGCAAATTTACATTTAATCTGGCAAAAAAGCATGCTGAGACTGGGCTTGTGGGTTTCACCTACTTACTGTGAGGGACAACTGCAATGAGATACAAAGAAAACCATCAGTGATTAGTTTCTACAGAGGATACAAATAGAGAGAACAGGGCCTGCCATTGTGCTCAGTTGTACCTTATTCTTTCCTTGGAAGTATTCCTCTTTTGCAGTTCACTTATTTTTTAATAATTCTGCTACTCAAATTTATTTAGTAATATATGTTTGTGAGACCACTTTACGAACTGATTTTTTTTTGTTTTATTCTTCTATAACAGTAGAAGAGAGTAAACTGAGACAGTTTACGGTCTAAATTTGGTTTATATTCTCTTTTGTATAAGCTGACATTAACTATCTGACCTAGATAAATTTTAAATATCTATATGTATACACACACACATGCATGCATACACACATGTACTCTTTTTCAGGCATCTACAGGATTTCATCTTTTCATGTTTGCTACCTGAAGGCAAGTAATTGCCTTCATGGTTCGTACTATAGGTAAAACATTGGTAGGTTTGCTATATTGACATGTTGCATGCTGGTTGTTGAACAACTAGGTTCTTAGCCAAGTCCTCTCCTATAAGATGTTTCAGTCTTCAAGACAACTTTCTTTTTATATCAAATGGATAGAAAGCAGATGCCTCTGGGGCTTACTCATTTACAGTCATGCGGAGGGGTTTTTTTTTCCTGCTGGTCAGCCCTCCTCCTGGAAACTTCTGCTGCTGAAATGTTTGTGCATTTGGCCTGTCTGTCCTTTCAGCGTGTTTAGCATAGCCCATTTGTACATTTTACTGTCCACAGCTGACATTTTTCATTGGTGGCCTTTGCTGGAGAGCATAAGAGCATTACAGTGTAGGTGACCTTGTCAGCAAATAGAAGGACAGTTTATTCTCCCTTGACTGGCCTCTTTTTGAGGGAAGTTGGGCTGTTATCTTGATATTAGCATAGTCATCAACAGAACTCATTATTCATAAAGACCTGGCTTGTTTAATAGCAGGAGATCTTACTGGACAGCAGAGATGTGAAATCCAGTGAGAAGCTGGAAAGGGTTAAGTCAATGTGAGCTTTGATTTCAGTGGGAAGTCACCACATAGGAAATTATTGTGTGCCTGCGTCATGGAGACTTGGGTTTTTTCTTAGTATCTGGAAGAATCCCCTACCTTTGTGCCTTGTACACACGGTGCTTTTCCATGTTGCTCGTGACAGAGAACGTCTCATTCTGTGTCCACCACCACCGTGCAGAAGAGAATTCTCAACACCAACGTGAATGTCTTGACAGTCCTTTTTGAATTCAGCTGTTCAGCTTGCACAGGTCAGAGGTAGTAGCTTCTGTGTGCTTGATGACCAAAAAGAAGGTAGCAGCTCCCTCAATGAAAAGGGATTATAGTATCCTCCCTGAGAAACAGCATTTCTTTGTTTTGAGGGTGGGACAACTGAAAAATGTGACAGCAGTGAAAGGAAAGAGTCATGTGCTTTTCCAGTGACAGCCTCCCTCCTCCTCCTCACTTCATGCCTGTGCCTGTGGTGGCTGGTGTTCAGGATTATTACTTATCCAAGTTTTCTGAGGTCTGTTTTCCTTATTGTGTCCATTCAGGTCTCGGTCAATCAGTGGAGCATCGTCTGGGCTCTCCACCAGTCCTCTCAGCAGTCCAAGGGTAAGTGGTGCTGCTTCAAGATCTGTTGGTCCAATTCACTCACACACGCTTGATGCTTTTCAATATCTGTTGCTGCAGAGCTGTGGGTCTTAGCTGGGATGTTTTGTTTTTTCTTGGCAGCTTGTAAATTTTCATGGGTGGTGAGGGAAATGTTATTTACAAATGCAAGCAAAGAATTTCTCATACATGTTCCCTGCACTGTTAGCAGGGATCTCAATGTGCCCCTGCCCTTTTTCAGTCTCATAAGCACATAGAATAACATTGCTATGACTAAACACTGCCATATCCAGCTGAAGTCTGTATACGGTGTGGTTTCAGACCAAATATCAGGAACCATTTCAATGAGGTCACAGTAAAGCACCAAACCATGCTGGTTACAACCAGCTTGATTCTGTTTGCCTCGGAATAGCTTGTATTAGAAAGTCAGAGAAAATAAATCATACAAATTTGAGGGCTAGCAAATTTAAAAGAAATGTAAGGAGTTGACTAATTAAGATGAGAAAGGAACACTCAAACCCCTATAAATAAGGTACATTCACATGCCCTTATCCAATATACAGTCAACTAAATATCGATACTCTACTAATACTGATACTCAGCTAGTACCAAATATGCTTGATAGTACATCTGTGGCAAAGTTACTATAGTTTCTGGGTGCGATGACAGAGGCCTTCCTCTCCTTGGTAACGTCTTTAGGGATAAGAGCAAGTATTCCTAGTGTCTGACAAGGTCAGCTTAGTCACTTCAAGACTGCAGTCCTTGCAAAAGTCTAGACCTCATCAAGAAGTCTTTAGGGCTGTGGCAGCCATGTTACCTAATTGTCTGGCCCAGAGTCTTTGGAGGTTTTCTATGCACTTTTCATGACTTCATGAGAAGATGCCATCCCCCATTGGAAATGGATCTATTCCATGTGTTAGGGTATGGCTACACCTATGGATCTACTCTTAGGTATATGAAGATAACATAGAATCACAGAATCACAGAATGGTCAGGGTTGGAAGGGACCTCTGGAGATCATCTAGTCCAACCCCCCGCCAGGGCGGGATCACCTACAGCAGGTTGCACAGGACGGCGTCCGGGCCGGTTTTGAACGTCTCCAGGGTGGGAGACTCCACAACCTCTCTGGGCAGCCTGTGCCAGTGCTCCACTACCCTCAAAGTAAAGAAGTTCCTCTTCATGTTAAGATGGAACTTCCTATGTTCAAGTTTGTGCCCGTTACCTCTTGTCCTATCACTGGGCACCACTGAAAAAAGACTGTTCCCATCCACCTGGCGCCCTCCCTTTAAGTATTTGTAAGCATTAATAAGATCCCCCTTCAATCTTCTTTTCTCTAGACTAAAGAGACCCAAGTCCCTCAGCCTTTCCTCATATGAGAGACGTTCTAATCCATTAATCATCTTTGTAGCCCTTTGCTGGACCCTCTCCAGCAGTTCCCTGTCTTTCTTGAGCTGGGGAGCCCAGAACTGGACGCAGTACTCCAGATGCGGCCTCACCAGGGCAGAGTAGAGGGGGAGGATGACCTTGCTCGACCTACTGGCCATACTCTTCTTGATGCACCCCAGGATGCCATTCACCTTCTTGGCCACCAGGGCACATTGCTGGCTTATGGTCATCCTGTTGTCCACCAGGACTCCCAGGTCCCTTTCCACAGAGCTGCTCTCCAGGAGGTCAGCCCCCAACCTGTACTGATACATGGGGTTATTCCTCCCCAGATGCAGTACCCTACACTTACCCTTGTTGAACTTCATAAGGTTTCTCTCTGCCCAGCTCTCCAGCCTGTCCAGGTCAGCATCAGTATTCAAAGTGTTTAAAATTGTAATTGCCCAGTAACATTGTGTGTAATTCTTATGCATAAAGACACACCTTTGGGGGTAAGTTTACAGGCTAGTAAAGCTTCCAGTTCCTTGCTTGATTGAACTATTTTCTGAAATGTATTCTGCGTTCCTATCAATTGTTACCCTGTTTGCAACTGGCATAAGCGTGTTTGTGGTTTCCTCTGCATCTTTAACGTGTCAGAAACCAGTGAAGATCCTTGTTTCTGCACTGGAACTCCTGGATGTCAGTGGAATGAAGCAGAGGTCTGAGAGCTCTTATGCTACTGCAAAATGAACTGAAAAAGAGCATGGAAACAGTTTTGTGCGCAAAATAAGCATCCAGTGCAGCAAACCTAAATCTTCATCTCATTAATTGATCTCTTGGGATCAATTTCTGACATCTCAGTAGGACTACATCAAAGAATAAGGATGACAAGATCTGTTCCATAGTTGCTGTATCTTACCGTTATTACTTAATAGGCCGTTGATTAAATAGCCTTCAAAGGGCTTTAGCAACCAGATGGCATTTTCAGCAGATCATAACGATATTAAGGCAGGTCAAATTTGAGGCTTAAAAGGAAATTTCGGAATAAAAATCATATTTTTTTAAATGTCCTTGCCTATGCTTCTAATAGCACCTTAGAATATTGAAAGAGAACATACTGTAAAAAGCAAATACACATTTCTCTATATGCACTGCTTAGGTTCGGTTCTGTGAGGAATTGAATTCAACAGCAACTAAGAGTTTTTAAATCTCACAAGATCTTGCTAATGGTGTTCCCCATTGCGCCAGCTGATATATAGACATAATCTTGTTCTTTATTTCATTATTAAAAATGTGGTAATTAAGGGTGCCCCTTCAGATTCTTAATGGCTTAAGTGGGAGTTGAATTTGATTTTATTTCTTTCAAATTTGTTTCTCAAACCATCATACACATGAGATACAAAAATTGCAAGAAAACATTTGCAATCAACAGTCTTTGACTTTTATCCATTGGCATCATTTGTAAATGGTTAATAGTCAGATGCTGATAGTGGCTTTCATAAGTTAACTACTTTCCTCATCTGAGGTGAGTGTGCTTACCTGGGACTGAGATTTGAGGCATGGTTACACGTACATGGTATGTCTAGACAGTGCTTGATTACAGCTTTTAGGTGTTAACAGTGGATAATAATAATAATAATAATAATAATAATAATAACGGTGGTAAATAATTTATAATAGGTAATAATTTATAGAAATCAGAATCTGAATGAAGACCAAAGCTAAAGATCTTGCGTAGTGATTTCTAGTTTTACAATTCTGCCAGTACTTGTAATCTAAGGTTTTAACAGCAATGTTTTGTAAGGACATTCATTTTGTTTTAAATGTGATTTTTAGCTTGCTGATATCCCTTTAAAAGGCTTCTGTCCTCCCAAGTCTGTCTATTGCTGTTTGCTGTCAACATATGAATGGTTTCCCAAAATGCCTCTAATGTGTAAATGTTCTTGTTTGGGGAAAAAAATTTCATAATCCCATTTTGATAACTCAGTGATGGATTATGAACTTTGTTGTCGCTTTCTTTTTAAACTGTCTTACAAAACAATGGCTCACCCCACCCCCTCCATAGAATTGGGACTTAATGGCAAATATTGCTGTGACTTTATGACAGAAATTCTGATTATCAAGCTGTCCTTTGATGCGATGAGGGATGCTGCTGGAGAAGCATAAAGTCTGGTGGGAAGTATCATCTCTTCCCAGATAAATTTGCCGGGCCTCTCTGAAGTTTTTGCTGTAGCTGTTTACAAATCAAACACCAACCTGAGTTCATATTTTTCTCTCATGGTGGTGTGTGCTCTGAAGCCTCCAAGTGAACACTGAGCAGTTTAACCTTCCAGGCCAGAGGAGGAGAGTGGATGCCCAAGTGGCATCACTCTCCCTTTCCCCCTCTTTCTGCAATGGGTGGCTGCAGCCGGGGTGTGCATTAGCCAGAGTCAGGGGTAAAGAGGAAGGAAAGAGGTTCTGATTGGTGTGTGCAGTAACCTGTGTGTATCGCCTACCACTCCGTATGTATCACACACCTGTTTTGAGTTTCATCTCTCTGCTGGGTTTTCATATGGGCACTTGGAGCTGAAAGAGGTGGTCCCATTCTTGGCACATCTCAATTTGTCTGTGGCTTGAGTGGTTCTTCTTCCCCTTCCTCACCTCCCTACAGCATCGTGCTTCTCTCACTGCAGGGCAATCAGAACAATCCCAGAGAGATGGCATTTCTCTCTTCTTTTTTCTTGGTTACTTTCTTTCATTTTGGTTTGGTTTTGGTTTTTTTTTTACTTTTCCTTTGTTTTACTTTTCTTTCTGTTGTTTTCCTTTGCTGACACGTGGTTGGTTAATATGATGAAGCCTGTTATGACACTGTTGTTCTTGCTGCTGCCGCTGCTGCTGTTGTTGATTATGCTGTGTTCCCAGCTAACTGCATGTCTTTTTTTTGTTTTTTGTTTGTTTGTTCGTTTTTGTTTCTTTGGAAAATCCCTCCCCCCCACTACCCCTTCACCTCCATCTCTTGTGTCTCCTTGTGACATGGTGCATCTTTGTGACTCGGATGGATTTTATTCTGACTTTCCTTTCTCTGCTCGCCCGCTCTATGCGTATTTCACTGTTTTTGATGTGCATGGACACTCTGTGTCTGTCTCGTAGCCTATCAGAAAGTTCTTCATCCCCCCTCAGACCTCCGACCTCCCTTTCTCTCCCCGACCCCAAGTCTCCTTGGACCCTGATGCTTGTAGGAACGCCTCCAGGCCTGGACATGTACTCCAACCAAAGCCAGCACTTCAGCCCAACCCAAAGACGCAGACTTTGCCATCCAAGAGCAAATTGGCCGAAAAACCACTCCAGTCTACTAAATCCAACCCACTCCCTACCAGCAATGCCAGCGCCCCCTCTTCCCAGAACACCCCTGTGCAGAATGCCCAGGGCCGCTCACCTGCTGCCGGCTTTAACCCACAGCTGGCTGTTCCTAAAGTACAGACCAACCCTATGTCTCCTGTTAGATTGCTCCCTTCTAGTACTGACCCAAGCACCAAATCTATCCCCATCATACAGGTCACCCCTCACCCCTCTCCAAGGGGAAGTCCCCTCCCTACCCCCAAGGGGACACCTGTCCATACGCCAAAGGAGAGCCCAGCAGGCACACCCAACCCAACACCACCATCCAGCCCCAGCATTGGAGGAATGCCATGGAGGACACGGCTCAACTCAATCAAGAATAGTTTCCTGGGGTCTCCTCGCTTCCATCGCCGGAAATTGCAAGGTGAGTACTCACCCAAACATGCAGGTTGATTCTGATCTGGGCAGATGTTCAGCAGTAAGTTCATACCTCTCTGGCTCGGCAGATTTCATGTAATGAGGACTGAATATCGGTACTGAAAATGAGTGTGATAGTGTTAGCCAGCGCTAACTTAAGGCACATGTGAGCAGGCTGTCAGGTGCCAGTGCACCTGGTCCAACAGTATCTCCTGAGCCCTCTTCACACTTCAGCCATACATCTCTTACTATGCTTGTTGTGGCTCTTAGAACACAAGAAAATTTTATCTTCAGCTTCTCCACTTGCCTTGTCAGAGAAGCTAGAGCTCTGCCTTTTCCCCTATGCCTGTACTCTGCTGCCTCTCCATAGCCACAGGGTGAGCCGTCTGCTGAAAAAAAGATAGCCAGTGGCAATAGGCTGAAATTGTCCTTCTAAAGCACAACTTGTTTATCTTGGTTAATGCTTTTTATACCTCCTTTGGTAACTGGTGTAAAAATCTCCTTAATACAATCAGTGGTTTCGTATCTGCTGGCCTATTTCAGTTTTCAGAGTCTCTAGAGTGTTGAGATGTGCAAAATTTTCTTCTTCAAACTCCAAATGACTTTTTACATTCAGGCAAAGGGCACCCAGAGTCACAGGCATTATCCTCAGATGTCAGCAGCAGCTATCTCAACATCCTGTGGGTTTACAGGGTACTGGGATGTGATCCCATGGGAAAGGAGGATTACAGCCATGAAAGAGTTAGACTTTGAGCTGTCATGGTCAGGGACATTGTCTCTGACGTGGTCAGAGAAATGATGAGAATTGCAGCAGTGACTGAGCTGCATCCAGCTGGGCTTTAAAGCAATCAAATTGGCATGGTGTTTGGGTCCAAACCAGAAACCACTGGAGCCAGTGCGAGATTACATAATGATTTAAAGACGGGTAGGGTGAGCCTTGAAATGCAGCACTTGATTAGATACAGGGATCTAGAGACATACGACCAATGTTCAAATGTCAGAATTGGTCTGCAGAGGCAGTGGGAAAATGCAAGAGGGTGTAATGCCAGAATTGTTTCATTGGTATACAAGCAGAAAATGGAAGGTGTACTGAATCATCAATTTCTTTTCTCCCTCCCTCTCTTTGGCTGTGCGTGCATGGGCAGTACCTACACCAGAAGAGATGTCTAATTTAACCCCAGAATCATCCCCAGAGTAAGTAATTTGCTGGTATGCTACTTTTTTTCCACCACATACAAATGTCATTTTCTTGCCACCTGCATGTCATAGGGTGACATATTCCTGTTCTGCATCAGTATCTGATTGTAACTTGTTATCCTTTGAGCGGGACAGAGATGTGAAATGGTTCTTCTGCTAAGGACCTTGAATAAAATCTATACCTCGGTAATGGCAGTGGGGTCAGCAGGGGATGAAACAGTCTCCCAGTAACCACCTTGTTTTAGAATCATAGAATCACAGAATAGTTTAAATTGGAAGAGACCTTTAAAGGTCATCTGGTCATACCCCTCTACAATGAGCAAGGACATCTTCAACTACAGCAGGTTGCTTAGAGCCCCATCCAGCCTGACCTTGAACGTTTCCAGGGATGGGGCATCTACCACCTTTCTGGGTAACCTCTTCAAGTGTTTCACCACCGTCAGCATAAAAAGAAGATTTCCTTATATCTAGTCTAAATCTGCCCTCTTTTAGTTTATAACCATTATCCCTTGTCCTATTGCAACAGTCTCTGCTAAAAAGTTTGTCCCCATCTTTCTTGTAGGCCCCCTTTAAGTATTGAAAGGCCACAATAAGGTCTCCCTGGACCCTTCTCTTCTCCAGGCTGAACATCCCTGACTCTCTCAGCCTGTCCTCTTAGGAGAGATGTTCTATCCCTCTGATCGTTTTTGTGGACTTCCTCTGGACCCACTCCAGCAGGTCCATGTCTTTCCTGTGCTGATGGCTCCAGAGCTGGATGTAGTACTCCAGTTGGAGTCTCACCAGAGTAGAGCAGAGGGGCAGAATCACCTCCCTCGACCTGCTGGCCATGCTTCTTTTGATGCAGCCCAGGATATGGTTGGCTTTCTGGGCTGTGAGTGCACATTGCCATATCATGTCCAGCTTTTCATCGACCAGTACCCACAAGTCTTTCTTGGTAGGGCTGGTCTCAATCCCTTCATCCCCCAGCCTGTCTTGATACCATGGGTTGCCCTGACCCACATGCAGGACCTTGCACTTGGCCTTGTTGAACCTCATGAGTTTCATATGGGCCTACTTCTTGATTTTCTCATGGCTTGCGAAATTTACTAGGTTTCTAACATGTTCCTTCTCTCTCCTTTCATTTGGTTGTCAAGCAGACCACTCTTGGGGAGTGGAGAGAATAATCAATGGCTTATAGTGGCACTAACTATGCACTAAAAAGTCTTCCTCTTAGTACAGGAGGATTTGCATCCTCAAGATAACATGCAGAAGCCTCTGCTAAGATAATTCAGAGGAAACTTTGGCTGCGATAATTGGAAGAGACCTTTAAAGGTCATCTGGTCATACCCCTCTACAATGAGCAAGGACATCTTCAACTACAGCAGGTTGCTTAGAGCCCCATCCAGCCTGACCTTGAACGTTTCCAGGGATGGGGCATCTACCACCTTTCTGGGTAACCTCTTCAAGTGTTTCACCACCGTCAGCATAAAAAGAAGATTTCCTTATATCTAGTCTAAATCTGCCCTCTTTTAGTTTATAACCATTATCCCTTGTCCTATTGCAACAGTCTCTGCTAAAAAGTTTGTCCCCATCTTTCTTGTAGGCCCCCTTTAAGTATTGAAAGGCCACAATAAGGTCTCCCTGGACCCTTCTCTTCTCCAGGCTGAACATCCCTGACTCTCTCAGCCTGTCCTCTTAGGAGAGATGTTCTATCCCTCTGATCGTTTTTGTGGACTTCCTCTGGACCCACTCCAGCAGGTCCATGTCTTTCCTGTGCTGATGGCTCCAGAGCTGGATGTAGTACTCCAGTTGGAGTCTCACCAGAGTAGAGCAGAGGGGCAGAATCACCTCCCTCGACCTGCTGGCCATGCTTCTTTTGATGCAGCCCAGGATATGGTTGGCTTTCTGGGCTGTGAGTGCACATTGCCATATCATGTCCAGCTTTTCATCGACCAGTACCCACAAGTCTTTCTTGGTAGGGCTGGTCTCAATCCCTTCATCCCCCAGCCTGTCTTGATACCATGGGTTGCCCTGACCCACATGCAGGACCTTGCACTTGGCCTTGTTGAACCTCATGAGTTTCATATGGGCCTACTTCTTGATTTTCTCATGGCTTGCGAAATTTACTAGGTTTCTAACATGTTCCTTCTCTCTCCTTTCATTTGGTTGTCAAGCAGACCACTCTTGGGGAGTGGAGAGAATAATCAATGGCTTATAGTGGCACTAACTATGCACTAAAAAGTCTTCCTCTTAGTACAGGAGGATTTGCATCCTCAAGATAACATGCAGAAGCCTCTGCTAAGATAATTCAGAGGAAACTTTGGCTGCGATAGTAAATGTAGTGTTAATTTTGGGCAGCAACTCTGGGACATGCAGAAGCTGTTTCATATTCACCAGACTCGTTCCTGAAAGTCAGTGTACATTTCAACCATTTCACTGCACAAATGTGCGTCACTGCATGGCAGGTTTGGAAGTCCCTGCCAGAGTGCTGCTCCAAACACTTCCTAATATATGCAACAAATGCCAAATTATTTCTTTTTATTTTCACAGCTTGTGTTTGTGCACCCAATGCCCATAGACATACCCTGCCAACTAAGGCAATTTGGTATTTTGTCAAGATACTCGTGTGAAATATTCATGAATCGTAGATGGAAATTTTGGGCCCAAAGTTTTGTAATGGCTGACAATGGTATTACCTTAACAACTTTCCCCATACCTGGCATTTATCTGGTATAAGATGGGCACTCTGTATCTAATGCTGCAGAATGGAGAGGGATAAAGACTTTAGGAGAGGGAGAAGTGGGGAATAGCAAAGGTTAGTAAAAAAATACAGGAAGAAAAATGGAACAAATTGTGTTTTCAACCCTTTGGAGCATTTACGAATAGAGAGGCATGGCAGAATTTCATAAAATGAACATATCCTTATCAAAGAAATATATGACACTCTCATCTTAAATGTTTTCAAGGCTGTTAAAGCAGAAAACCTTCAGAATTAAATCTCATCTCTTCTCTTTTCTTCATGCATGTATATCGGTGGAAGTTTTTCTGTTAATTTTTTGCCTTCTTTGCTTCCCACTCACTCTTTGAAAGCTGGTATAGAGAAGTAGTGCCTGTCATTTGAGGCAGTTTGGATGCAAGTCAAAGCCTAAGGCCCTTTTTTCTGTTTCTGTATAATTGCCAAATTAATGAGTTCAATTGGGCTGCACCCTGCAGTAAACATAATAAAAGTCATAAAAAATAATGAACTGGATTATATGTTAACAATAGATGTCTTGTTGCTCAGTGCCCACTTCCACGTCTTATTTTTTTCTAGTATTTTCTTCCTTTCTGTAAGAAATAAGATATCCTTATCAAGAGTTTCATTGACCTCGTGGCTTGAAAGATAAAAATACATGTCCTTGCTCTGGTACAGCATTCTTTAATGACTGCCATTCATTTAACAAGTCTGATGATTAGGTAATACACTTTGACATGTCTGAGTAATGCTATTCTTTCTCATATGAAAAAGTCCTAGAAAATGTGTTAGGGATGACATTTAAAGAGACATAGCTCCAGCTGCTTTAAACCTGCAAAGCTCCATTTGCTTGAGTAGAAATGCTGTTATTTATGCCAAGCAGGTAAACCTCTGGAGGTTACAGATCCATGCGCTGAGGGACAGATAGGGAAGACAGTGAGGCTCGCCAGAAGGCAATGCCGTCAGACACTCCAAAAGTAGGAAAAGGAACAACATTATAGCAGTGAGAAATTCAGTGTGAAGTAATAAAGCACTAGCCTCCATTTTCATGCTAATCTATTTGCTTTTTCATCAACTGGACACCTGATTAGATTCCCTAGAGTAATCTACATACCCAGCCTCCCACGCATATCTCCTGTCTCCCTCCGCCTTAGGAGGTTTGCCATGACAAGAGAAGATTGTTAATTTTAACTACATTTTTTACTGATTACGGACTGATCTTGTGAGATGCTATAGCATCCCATGCAGGGTGCTGAGGATCCTTGATTCCTACACATTTTAACCCAAGTTAGTAGCGCTTGACACTCTCTAAGAGGAGGGAAACCTTTACTATGTCATGTGACTCCAAAGCTGCCCCCTCTTCTTCAGTGAGCCTATTCCCTGGGTGAATGAGCACAGCTAGTTCTGCCAATTTCGGGGAGAAAAGCCAGTGCATGTGTGCTATGTCTTGATTCTGTTCATTCCAGGAACAGGAGAGGCCACTGGCATCTATTCCATCTTATGCGACAGCAGCAAAATTATTTAGTGAATTCTGGTGATTTACAAGCTGGAGCGTAGCCCAGGCTATCAGTGAATCTTCCAGAGTCAGTATTACTGGTGATAACCTTGCCGAAGAAAAGAGCCCAGCTGGGCTCTGGAGACTCCAGACCAAGTTTCCAAGCTGAACAGCAGAAAACCTCCCTATGTTCTGAGGCCCTTTTAACCTGTGCTTGTTAAGAGACCTATAAAGGAAGGGCCAAAGAAACTTTAATGAAAATACAAAAATGAAAAGCCATATTTTAATATGGCAGACCTGCAATTAAATATGCACGCTTTTTCCAGGCGCAGCTTCCATGCGTGACATACACTGGGCCCCTGGAGTCCATATAGCCAACCCCAGTTCAGATTATGATACATACAAGCCTAAGACAACCAGCCGTTTTAGATGGATAACCAGGTGCTAATTTACTAATGAGCATAGACCCTTTACATGCAGGGAGCTATTGCCCCAGCTCTCCAGGGGCTTGCGGAGTTGTTATGGTGTGTGTGAGACACATGAGCTAATTAGTATGTAATTTCCTTTCACACTCTAACCCTGGTTCCTTAACGACCCATTTAAATGAGAGGCCCTTTCTCTTTACTGCTCCCTATGCTAATCTCTGGCTCACTGGCTTAGTTACAGCTGCCTATGAATATTTTAGGGAGTGACGGTTTTCCAGCCCACTTTAATTGAGTAGGGGGCACTGGTTTACCAAATTGCAAGTGAATCTTTCTGTACTCTTATTTTTGGTTGCCTGCAGTAAGTAGAAGCAAATGATTATTTGCACAGCTGAGCTGTCTTCCAGTTGTAGTCTTTCTGCTGTGTGCATTAAATGGGCGGCTTTGTTCTTCATCCCGAAGGTCTAAACTTCAAGTTAGTTTCCTAGTTTGCTTCTCTCTCTCCTAGTCTCTGCCTTTCCTCATTCTGCTTTAGGCTGGGTCTTTGCCATGGAAAGTGAATCTACTTATAACTCTCTCCAGCTGTTTATTGCTTTGCTGGAAAGCTGGTGTATAGTAATCCTTTTTGCAGATGGCTCTCCTTGTCGGAGAGGTTGTCTTCTTCCATTGAGTGGTGAATGTCCTCCAAAACAAGTGAAAGCCTATTGCTTGCCATACAGTAAACTGGACTTGTCACAGCATTATAAAGTGGAGGAAAGAAACTCTTTTGGTGTCAGGTCTTTTCATTTCTGCTATTGTCATGCTAAATTCTTCCCTACTGGAACATGGCTGATTTCAGTGGAATTTTCCCTAGGTTTAGGTTGGCCCAGCAATTTTTTGGCTGTACCTGATGGCTGACATCATCTTCTCTCCCCTCAAAACTACACATCAGAGGTGCTACCTTCAAGTTCTGGGTAGTGCCCCTCCTATAACATTCATGTCTATGCATTTTTCCTTTAGCCTGTTTGACTTTATCAAGTGCATTGAGGTGGTGAAACAATAAGCAAAATAACAGTTGCTGATACCATCAGTGTGAAAAAATGGCAGTTTCATTTTATGATGAAACCACCATCTGATGCGGAAAGGAACTGTGAAGTTGGACTGCTGTCAGTGGAAAGCCTGAACTGTGTTTTGCATAGTGTTGATGTCATCTCTCTTAGTACTGAAAATTCATGCCTTTGTAGGATGGCCAGAGTTCACTCATTATATAGACACCCTGAATGGGACTAATGAATGAGACAGTCTTTGTCCTGGCCCTCTGCATAGGAGTGGATTACAGTCATTGACAGGACGTCCAGCGAAACCTACATCTTGCTTTCCAAAAGCAAGATCCTGTGATTGTAGTGTCAGCCCAACAGGACACCTTCAGAAAAGGAACTTTCTAAGTCCCAGAATACCAAAGAGGTTGAAATTGGGTGGGAAGGAACTTAAATCCCTGTGTTAGCAGCATCCTCATATTCTCACAAGAAATTGAGAGATCCCCAGAGACAAACCAGAAATGCGTCACCTGGCTTATATGCACTTTATACGTGCAGTATTCATTGGTATATTGGCTCAGTCAAAAGAGTTACCATTGCTACTGATTTTTCATTGCAGGTCACCCATGCTGCCAGACTAACACTGTGTGGTCCGTCACTTTAATAGTTTCCACTAAGTGAAATGTTGTTCTAGATGTCCTTTGACACCGTTTTCCACTTGCTATTAGTAACAGTATCACATCTGGAGTGTTATCAAAACTTCCTTGTGTGTTTTTTATTATTTTTTCTAGCTGGAGGTATGTAAGAAATAGACCTCAATATTCTAAACCGTCTCTCTCTTTTCATCACATCAGGCTTGCCAAAAAATCCTGGTTCGGTAACTTCATCAACCTGGAGAAAGAAGAACAGATTTTTGTGGTCATTAAGGACAAACCACTAAGCTCCATTAAGGCTGATATTGTCCACGCTTTCCTGTCGGTAAGTCACCCCACCCTCTTGGAGACATTGCTCACTGGTCAGTTCCAGGATTCCTTGTGCCATGTGTTACTGGGGAGGGTCTCTGCTCCTTCAAATGCATCCTCTGTGAATTTAATTTACATGACCAGTTGATTCAGGCCTCCACTGGACTATGTCTGAATTTCTAACTGAAGATAATACTCTCTAAGGTGAGAAAAGATTTCAGCCTTCTTGGCAGGGTGTCCAGGTTGGAATATCACTGCAGTTAGAGCACACTGCTGGTGTGGTATCAAGACGGGGATTTGCTGCTTTTTCAAAGTAACCTTACAGTCACTGTCTGGGCATCAGATTGGGTCTCCCTCCACCACCTTAGTCAGACAAAAATCCTGTCTCACACCTACATTTGTTACTGTAAATCTCCTCTTCACTGCCTTATGGCAGAAAGAAGGGTAATTTCGTCTGGTGACCAGAGTGTCAGTTGTTGCAGATGAGGTTTATTTACAGTGTAGGAAAGCAGAGGGAAATTGTCTTATTTTCCTATAGGAAGTCCTTATTCTTGATATCTAGAAGTACCAATGAAGAAAGAGTCAGCACAGTAAAGTTAATTTGAGAGATTTTTCAGTTCAAGGTAGTTGACAACATAATTAGACTTTTTTTCAATAGAATTAAGAGAAGGAGACTTAATTTCTTATATCGTTTATTAAATTGATACCATTTTCCACAAAATACCGCACACCTTTTTAGCCTTTATGATGCTGCAATGAATTTATTCCAGAAAAACAGCCTTTTAATGGTACTTAAGGAGCACGTGCAGTATAGTAGCATGCATCAGACACTGGTATCCATCTCAGATTGGTTTGAAGCAGCCATGTTAGCATATCTGTTTCATGCATTTAGCTGTGCTTGTGGGTTTATATTGTGGCGTGTTGTGCACTACTGTCTATACTGATGATCCTGTGCATACCCCACATATGGGTTGAGGTGTGATGTAATGATTTGCATGCAAAGCCTATGAATCGTCTCTCACAGTCGACTTCAAACTTAAATGCATTGTCACAGCCTGCTAAGTAAGTCCTTAAGTCAGCTTCTCAAAGAACTCATCTTCATTTTTCCTCCTAAATTAGAGGCCAGATTTCCAAGTGATTAGGGTTGGTTTTTTTTAAATCTGGTCCTTTTTGAAGCAATAAATAGAATGTGAGTATGTTAAATTTTGGCAGGAACTGCAAATGGTAACTGCTTGAAAATTAGGTAGTTAGTAAATTCTGCCACAGGTCTGAAGATACAGATGTTGGGTGATACCAGAAAGCTCCTCAAAGTTCTTTTACATATTGATAGAGATTGTGGTTTGGGTAAGTTATTTGCAGGCATGCTTTCCCTGCAGATATCCCAGGCACTTGTCTAAGTGTCTGCTCGGTGTCCTGATGTCTGTTTGATATCATAGAGTCACCAAATGATTGAGGTTGGAAAGGACTTCAGGAGGTCTCCTGCTCAAAACAGGATCAGGTTACTCAGGTGGTTGTTTTTTTTATCCAGTCTTATATCCCACTGTCTTTTCTGCCCCCTCCCTTAATATCAGTTTTCACTCAGCAAAAGGCATTTATCAAAACTGTTAGATGAGTAGGAAAAGAAAGACAGAGTGTATGAAGTTGTGCAATATGTGTAAATTTGTAAGCATGCTGGGTATTCCACCAATATTCAACCTTTAAATTTAGGTCAGTCCTGTAAGGAGCAGTGCATTCTTCTGCAGTGCCAAGCAACTTACACTCGTACTGATTTCACAAGAACACTCTGTACATTACAAAATCAAGTCCAGAAGCAAACGCAGCAAATCTTATCCACTCTGGAAATATGAACTGTTCTAAATAGAATTTTGCAATTTTGTTCCCTTTGTGCTCTGGTTCTACTATCTCCTTCTACCAACCTGTTTCAGATTCCAAGCCTCAGTCACAGTGTCATCTCACAGACAAGTTTCCGTGCAGAATATAAGTCCACAGGAGGTCCTGCTGTCTTCCAGAAGCCAGTGAAGTTTCAGGTGGACATAACATACACAGAAGGGGGAGAGGCACAGAAGGAGAACGGGATCTATTCTGTCACTTTCACACTCTTATCAGGTAACCGTGGCAAAGCTGTAAAATGGGTGCAAGCTGGCTCTGTCCTCGCTGATACAGAGGCCTGCAAAGAGAGCTCTGCCAGGGGAAAGAATATAACTGTCTTGACCTCAGGGGAAAATTCAAACAGGGGCAAGGAGGACTTTAGAAACAAAAATGGTGTTGGTAGTGATGGAAATGCTGGGAGGGAAAGAGATTCCCAAAGAGATGAAGTTGCCACCACCATGATTAGTGCTAAAATGGCTTCTCTGTGCGTCAGATTGGAAGTATCTCCCTGTACTGTCTCCTTGTTTCACTCAAAGGTCTCAGCATCTCAACTGTCTCTTCCTTCTGACAGAAACATGCAATCACCCTTTTCTTCTGGGTGGCCACATGCCCCTCACAGGGCAAAGCACAAAGCAAACAAACAAACAGTCTGGGGACAAGACTGAAGGGAAGATGCTTGTGATCCTTTCCCTCCAGCCTGGGTTGTATGAGGATTCAGCTCCCGCTCCTCTCACAGCCATTTGTGCCTTTTCTTTCCTCACAGGTCCAAGCCGTCGTTTTAAGAGGGTAGTAGAAACCATTCAGGCACAGTTGTTAAGCACACATGACCAGCCTTCAGTGCAGCAGTTATCAGGTAAGTAGTTTCTACTGTTGAGCACCTTGCTTCAGCAGGGACAGGAAGGTGAAGTGCCTCTCAGTACCAGGAGGCTGAGGGAGGCCATCCCTCTGATTACAGCAAGAAACGAGCTCCATTCAGACAGAGCAGTAACTCCCCACACCCACCCTACTCCTCCCTCTCTCATTCCCACTCCAATGCTCCCAGCGCATTCCCCAGTTGAACAGCTTCTGCCCTCCTCCCTCCCAAAGAGCCATTTGCCCACTTCTCCATCAAAAGCTGTATCATCAATAGATCTTCCAGATTTTCTCCGATTCCAAACTCTCCCAGAATAGGGACATGCTCTAGAAGATACCTGATTTTCAAACCCTTCAGCTATGCTTTAGAAACATCCAACTTCAGAGGGTCCCAGAACAAAGTTGAGAGCTACGTTTAACTTAGCCATTAATTAACAGCAGCATTTTCAGATGGTCAGAAGGTGGCTAATAGTTTCCAGTAGTGGGGTCAAATTCTTGGCCCAATACTGTGGCAGCACAAATCATATACTAACATTCTGCAGAAGCTATATTTTATCTATTTTTAAAGTAAATTCAAATTTCTCATGGTGGTAAAGAAAGCCTTATGCGTGTGACCCTGTGCAATGACATCAGTCTGAATCTGCAGGCAGCCTGAATTGATAATACAGAAACTGGCCTCATCCCACCATTATGTAGCAAATGTTCACTCTGAACACTAGTGGTGACACACCCCCCGAACAAAAAAAGAAAATCAGTCTTAACTCTTCTATCCTTTAAAAGGACAGAACAAAGAAAGAAGGTGAAAATTGAAAACTTAAGGAAGCTTAGCTATTGGGACTGCTTCAAGGGAGGAAAAATGGGGAGAACCAGAAAGAATGTACAGATATGGGAAGAAATAGGAGCAAGGCAGAAAGCAGAGGCTGCAGGAAGAAAACAAAGAGGCAGGAGGAGTGAGAAGAATTTTCCCATTGTATGATGATGAAAAGGTAGTGACTACGTATTATAATATTATAATTCTATGCTTGACCTTTGTGTGAACTAGCCAAGACAAAAGTGCGGGAATGAATTCAGCATTTCATCCTGCAGTTAAATCCCAGATATCCTTGGCTCATTGCACATATGGGTTACATCCTTCTGGTCTAACAGTGTGGCTTTAACAGCTGAAGATAAAGTACCTCCATCTAGAAGAGTGTATGCTCACTACATGATAGAGAAGTATGCTCAGTTCAGGAAATATTATTTTCCACTTTGCTTTTGCCCTCCAGCACTGTCTGACCTTCTGCACACTGGATTGCAAGGGCACACAGCACATGGGTTATTCTGTTAGGAAACAGGAAAGGTGAGGATAGTAGAACTGGGGTTGATTCAGGTGTTTGTTGTCTGGACTTTTGAAATTAAATCAAACTCAAGCAAGCAGTCAGAATTTTCTGCCAGCCCTTCCTCTGTGGAAATGCTGCGACCAAGTGGGAGTGAGGGAAGTTAGATAGAAAAGCATCCTTTGAGTCTAGTTCATATTACCCCTGCTTCATGAACAATGTTCAAGCATTCCTCGTTTCTTAAGTAAAGAAGTGTACACTTACTTTCTGGCAAGGAAAAAAAATGTTAAAGAAGTAAATAACATGGTGGTGTCTCTTAACTTCTTCACCCTAGTATATGCTAACTACTGAGGCTCTCTAGAAAGACTTGGACCCTGTTGCACACTTGCATGTGAAGCAGGACATCTCCCTAAGAAAGATATATATATATTTATAGCAGGAATAAAAACCATTCATCTGACTGTGGCTCAGGGAGATGTTTAGGGCAAACTGTGCTGTGAGAAATGTGTCTGACTTACAGTTTTGCTCTGGTTTTGGAATGAAGGAATCATATCACAGACACAGAATCTCTTTCTGCTGCCTCAAGCTACATGAGAACATGTTGTTCTAGCAGGGAAAACTCAGGCTGATCTTTAAAGCCAGAGTGGAACGGATAACTCTGTATGGAGCAAAACCAAAATGAATGGTCTCTTGAAACTTAAAAATGAGAGTTCCCTCGGCCAGGGAGTTATCCAGGCAACAGCTCATGAGTGCCAGGCTATCCTGTATCATATCACCTGACCTGATCAGGAATATGCAAGTCTCTTGAAAAAGAGAGAAATAATTCAACCTGAAAAATTTAGGTTGGAGCGCAGTACAAGGAAAAGAGAAAAGGAAAGGGGGAAAAAAAAATTTTTACCAAGAAAAGGCAACCTGTGCATTAAAATAGGGAGGCCCTGTGGTTCACATCCCCAGCCAGTGAGAAAGTAAGGGCAAATAAAGATATAAAGGGACAGCAAGAGTTCAGCACCTTGCTTAGCTGGGTGGCTGTGGTTGGGAAGATGTGTGCAAGAGCTTCCTAGAAATTGCCATGGAATTACTCAGCATTTCTTACTAGAAACAATCCAAATTACTCTGTGTTTCTCTTCTTCTCCCATACTCCCACCCTGAACACCTCACAGGAATTGTGGTAGTTAGACTCCTATTCAGGTTCATGGTTTGAGGATACTCTGTAGGCAGTCCACTGCTGCCACAGAACAAGCTCACAGTTCACTTTGAATCTCCTCCTCCGTGGCTCTGAGGATACTGCTGGCTCTGACCAGTGATACTGTCCCAGCACTGGAGATTTTCCTAGCTCACTGTGCACAGACATATCCTCTGTGTGGTTGTCTCCCCTGACTTTTAGTTCAGATGCCATTACAGGTGGGATGATGAAAACCATCTGTGAAAGGTGCATGCATGTAACGTAAGACCTGCAGAAGGGGAAGATTCAATGAACACAGTATAAAGCAGAACAGCAAGACATAGTAAGCCTATGGCACTGATAGTCATTCTCTCTCCTGCCCCTCTTTGATCTGTTATGCAGCATGCCAGCCCACTAAGCCGGCTTGCCTGGGTTTCAGAACACACTTTCCTCTTTCTCCTTTCCTCCAGCTCACAACAGTGTTTGTAGATGTCGTGTTGCCCATGCATCTGTGTGTGTGCGTGTGTATGAGCCTGATATGTACCTGATCTAGGCAGATGTGTTTCTGTGTCACACTTGAGCACCTTATAATTTCCCTTCCCCCTGGATATCCCTCCGTTCACTTCCTTTTTTCCTTCCTAAGACTGGCTGTGCTTATTTTTTCTGACATACTCTGAAGCAGGAAAATAGCTTCTCTCCCTTACCTGAATAAGTGTGTAAATAAATGAAATCTATCCCAAAAGCTAATGTAACACTTCTAAAATCCACTGTACAGTTGGCCAAATTTAGTGCAACGTATCTGCCTTCTACCTTAACGTTTCAGGACATTAAATCCTCTGTGGTATAACTGCTGAGACAACACCAGGTCTACAGACTCACGACTGGCACAGAACAAGTAGCTAGGGGTTGAATGTTCATTTTTTCTTTGCTATGAAAGAACTAGAGGCCATCATATGAAACTCGTGGAAACCACATACCAAAAAAATATTGGAAGATGTAATGTAAGACCCGTGGAACTCCTCGCTGAAGCAGGTTCTGAATGTGAGGAGCTTGCAGATGCGCATCTTCCCCTGAGTACTTCTCACTCACAGAGAGGCTGGACAACTCCCTGGAAGAGAAATCTTCATGAGGATTTCTAAACAGAGAAATCGCAGCAGGCTCAGGAAATCTCTGACCTGAAAGCGATGAGAGAGTGAGGTAGCGTTAGGAGGAAGTGTTCTGTATGCTTGGCCTGCTGTTACTCTCCTGCATATCTATGTGTGGCTGCTGGTGGAGGCAGAGCACTGGACGGTTTTGGCCATCTAGTTTTTGACAGTCCCTTTTGGATCAAGAGTGAGTATCACTGTCTATGAAAGCAGCTGGCCTTGTCTCTTGTCCATGTATGGCTCCATCCCGGAGCTTTATACTCAGAATCTCTACTTAGGTAATCCCTGGGCAGGACTGCCCTTTGGTGGGATAAAAGGATCTCTCTCCATGGAAGAAAATATCTCAGATTTGTGCCTTTGTTTCAGCGCAATACTCTTTCCATTAAATCATAATCTGTTTTCCTCCAATGCCTTTGCACAAGAGTGATAGAAACAGCTGGTGGATAGGGACATGCAAAAGCCATCTGTGATCATTCACAGGGTATCAATTTTTATTTCCCTAATATTTTCTTGCCTCTTTGGGCTTTGTTTTTAAGTGTGAGGTGCTGCATATTCTCATTTTTTCCCATTTTCCCATGTTCTGGGCAATCAGCAATAGTGAAGTAGCTTTTATAACTTCTTTGTAATAGGTTTTCTGTTTATTATATTTATTGGCTTCACATCGAATTTTAACCATTGGCATCTCAAAGTTCAGAGCATCTCAGTGTTACTGCTGGAAATGCCTTTCATCAGCATAAACAAGCGTTTAGAGACCAAAATAGGGCAGTGCAAATTCTTGCTCAGTGTGCGTAGCTTCTGTGTATGCACCTAAGCTCTTTTACTGTGCTGGTGTACACCTCAAAAAGTAAAACATGTTCACGTGACTCAAAAAACTTTGCTAGAGTGTTGATCTGTGAATTCTGGGTGTTCATCTTTCTGGTTCACAAGACTGTAGGTTGGCTAATTTGCTACAAAAAAATTAGTAAGAAGCTTAGGGTTTCCAAGTGTGTGAAGGATTTTATCATCAAGACAGAAAAAGGAGTAAGGAGCAAATAAAGTACTATGCAAGGTAAACTTCCAGCTGCAGACTCAAAACAGCTATGCAAATACCAGTTTGGAATTGGACTGCAAGTCAGTTTTATCCGGAGTTCATCCAGGTCCCAGGTTTATCTTGTTTCCTGCATTTTGTGTGATCCTTTATGTCTTACCACTCTTGTAGTGTCCAGGGCAATCTCTCCATCTTGCTGTCATGGTTCCCACCTACAAAAGGTGCCATGTAACACCTGGCTGGACTGGCAGAGCACTGGTTTAGTATTTTTAGTATTATTTTTAGTATTATTACTGAACAGACCTTATTAAAATTAACTAAGTAGTCCTGAAATAAAGCATGTAGAAAACA